ACTTATGACAGTCTCTATTGCAACTAATGTTTTACTTTTAAATATGTGACTCTATAGTTTATTTCTCTCTGAGAAACGGATAGTTTGTTTCTAAAGAGGTTAAAAATTACTTTTAAAAAGTGCCCTAGTTTCTTTTCTTTACTGATGCCATACTCAGTCTGCAGAACGCATTGGCCCATAGATTACCCACAGCACTAAAAATTCTTTCCATTACCAACAGTAGACACTGCAATTGAAATAGACTTTTGAGCCAGTTTTAACATATTTGGAGCAACAGACTCTTTGTTGAAAAGCATTTCCACATCTCAAGAAATGTTATTCTCAAGGCAAGGGAGCAAGATACCAACATCCTTATAAAGGGGATTTGAAGGGGCTTTGTTTCTCTCATAGAGACAGTTTCCAGATTTGAACTATTTTGCTGGAAGAGGATTTATTTTTCATCGCTAGTCAAATTTCAAGTTTCACACGTAGACTCTCAAAGCACAGCAAGCGAAGTGTCTGAGCGTGACTGACTTTTCTAGGTTTGTGACCTTCCTGCCTTTGACCCTGTGGCTTATGAGTCCTGTTAATCCCTTGAAGCTGATACTCGGCATATGCCAAGTATTTAAAATCAATATGTAAGGATTTGATTTTTACCTTGTAATTTTAGTTCACTTACACATGTGGTTATGGCCCCTTTCCAGATCTGAAGGTTGTATATTTTTGCTTTTTGACTTTTTTGTTAGAGGTCTTACATGTTTTATTTACATTTTAAAAATGAGGTCTTGGGTTTAATGAGCATTTCTGTAGGTTTGGTGTTTAATTTTAACATGTTGATTTCTAATTGTCTATTTATCGATTTCTCCTACTCTCTCTCCCTGCCCCCATTTTCCTAGCTTCTTTGGTGGCAGATTTAGTTCATTTTTGTTAGTTCTTACCTATTTAATTATAAAAATTTAAGACCATGTGTTTTCTTCTCAATACGATTTTGGCTGCCTCACCTAGGTTAGCATAAAATCTCATTATTTGTGTTTTGTAAAATCTTGGTTTTTATTTCTTTTTTTACCTAATAATTATTATATTAGGGTGTTCAAAATTTCCCAAGGAATTAGATTTTTAAGTCACCATTTTTATTTTTTTTATACTTTTATTCAGCAAATAGGTAGGCAGTGTTTCCTCTTTGTCAGGAACCACAGCAGATGCAGGGAATGGAATACCAGCTGCCTTCGTGAGATTTGTCATTTGCTGACTGAGAGGCATTGTAATTACACCACTCGATACAATCACAAAAAAATATGGTGGAAGAAAATCTTAGGGTGCCCTGAGACCTCTAAATTTTGCTAGAAATGGAGTTGCCTATTGTAGTTAGTACACTTTTCCTTAATCTTATTTACTTACCTCTTTTTCTGAGCATGCATGGTTTTAGTATTTGTTTCAGTCAGGTAGGTGAATTATTTCCTTGTCTATAGTTCTCATGGTTTCTGAGTCTTCCCATAAACTCTAAAATCTAAAGGACGCTTAATTCATATGAGGTTTTCAATTTATGGCTCCACTTGTAATAAAAGTTTAAAACACGTATAAGCAAATGTTAATTTTTGTATAAACAAACGCTCTATTAAAAAATTAAATCTTAAATTTGCCGGCATAATACATGCACATTAATTCTAAAACTCACTAAGTCCTGAGACAGCTAACAACTAACACTTGTTGCTCCATCTCCATGCCCCTTTTACTCCCCAGAGGCAGCCACTTATGGCCATTTAGTGCATTCTTCAGACAGTTACTGCCACATTGGCAACAATGTGCTTTTGCTACAGTGTCTCAAATCATTCCCGTTAGGCAGATTTTGGTGACTTCTTTGTATGATAAATGTTGAAGTTTTCCTGAACCACCTTCCCTCCTTCTTCAAAAACACTCATGTTGCTATAATTAATTCACTTTGTTAAATGAGTATCCAACATTCTCATTTTTGGAATGTGTAAATATGGTTCTCTCTCTTTTTTTGTTCCCTTTAATGCCTTATTTTTTACATTTTTAAAATTTATTGAGGTAATGTTGATTACAAGACTTGTGTATATTTTAGGAGTATAGGTTCATACCTTCACAAATAGAAGTCATCACACCATACCCACCAAGTAGTCAAGTAGTAAGCCATGAATAACATGTCCTTTTTGAAATACTTTTTCATTTCCCTGGAATTTCTATTTCCCTTAAAAAAATTCTTACTATCTTCTATCAGATATATGACATATATATATATATATTATCTATATGATATATATGTAATATATATCTTTGCATATATATTCATGTGTGCAATAAATTTTTACCAGATTTTATATATAAAATATTTAAATTGTCTTTATTTTGTCTTTTGCTATATAGCAAATATACTTATTTTCTCCCCCACAACATGCCATCCTATCAGGTTTCTTCCCAAGCCTTCTTATCTCTTCCAGAGCTGATCTGAAGTGGACCAGTGGTCTCCAGACCCATTGCGCATCTGTCATCGCAGAACCTCCCTTTCCTTCTTTCTGTTCCTGGCTTATTCCTTCTTTTTGCTAGAGGAAGTTCTCAATTAGTTCATGGGAGATAGGTGTTCTGGGTTTTTTATGTCTTCTAGTGTCCTGTGTATTGCTGTTGAGAGATTTGATGCTGTCCTGAACCTCATTTGTGGGCACAGATTGGAGCAGATGAATGAAGTCAGCCAGATCCAGGCCTTCTGAATGTGTGTTGGAGGGGGTGGTTGGCAGGGAGTATGTGTGTAGATGCAAGTTTAACAAAGGGAGGTGTGACTTCAGGAGGCTGGCTTCAAATTTAAGAAGCGTGCAAATGTAGCTGCCTTTGGTTATTCCAATCTATGAAAGAACCTCTGTTGTTCATTTAAGGTCAATCTTTAGGGTGACTTTCAGGGCTAGGCCTGGGAATATTTATGTCAGGACATAGGTGATCACCTCCGTGATGCCCTGCATAGAAGCACTGACAGATTAAACAGATGGGCTCAACATGGCAGGGGACAATGGCAGTCTCCTAACTGGGTTCAGAGAAGCACTGGGCACCAGTAAAGGCTCAGCTGCAGTTTGCATGAGGATAACATTAAGGATTTGTTTGACTGTTGAATGAACACTGGCGATTGCCAAAGAATTCAGTTGGGGATGTAGGTTGCATAATAAAGAGATGACCTCCTGGCTAAGGGAGTGAAGAACCTGTGCAGTTTCACAATGGGGCAGTTCCCAGCTGGAGTTATCTGGTTCCAGTTTGAATTTATGTTCTTCATTTAATGCTTAAATGTTCATTTTAGATGCCGCCCCCCCCCCCATTTTATAGCTCTCCTTGACACTTTCCTTGCCCATAGTTTATTATTTGTCAGAGTTCTTGGTCTCCATTTAACTTGCCATACTGCTATAATGTATGTCTCTCTGTTGTATTAATTCTCAAGAATGCTCACTTAATCCTGAAATAGAGACAACAGCCCTGGGCCCACCTTTGTCATTGGGCTATGTAAAGATCAGATGAATGGTTTGTTTTTTGCTTTATAAATAGCAAATGGGAGATGGTGTTACTTCCTGTCCAGTTGTTGATGTGATAAATAACAGCCTCAAATTAGCAAGCCAGTGCAGCTGCTGTCCTTAGCATCTGTGTAGCATCCCCACCCTGATGTGTCCTGAATTTTTTAATGGGGGAAAAAAACCTTCAGCACTTGGACCTTCTTTCAGCTCATTCCTTTGCCTTTATTCCCTGAAGTCCGTGAGCTGTCACTGCTTGGCCAGGCCATACGTGGCTACATTCTCTGTGGCTCCAGAGGCTGAGGACTGAAGAATTGGGAGGCAGGGGTTCCTGGCCTCAGTCTGAGTCTATAGACCCAGGTGTTGGGATCTGCAATGTATTTATAACCCTTGGGATCCTTCTGTACCGAGGTCCTGGTTTCCCTGGGCACTGGACTGTCATGTTTCCACTTGTATCTACTGTAGGATGGGGCTGTTGAACATTGGCCTCCCTCTGTCTAATGGGCAAGGCAGGACTGCTGTTCCAGATCCTTGCACAGACCATCAGGGGCTCAACACCAAAACTGACCAAGCATGTTCCAGTTTCCTACCTCTGGGATCCAGCCATTGATCTCAAATTTCACAGTCACTGGGTCCTGGAAGCTAAACTTGGGGGAGCACCCAGCACCAGCCACACTGCTGTGCCAAATGTAGTCCTCTCCACTGTGTTTCTTTACATGTCTGGCCTCCTGGTCTAGACCCCTTTCCTCAATGCCACTTTCTGTGGCCATTTCTGGACACTGGGCCTTGACCTGGGCATGCAGGATGATGGCAACATGAGTCCTTAGCATCAGTCTGGAGAGCCAGGTGTTCAGGTTTTTACTCCTTTCCAAGAAGGTTCCTGTGCACAGTGAGAGCCCTTCTGTGGAAAGCCACTTCACAGACAGATCTAGCTGTCTCTGGTCTCTGGGCCGTGCGGACCTACCTGCTCATCCTGTATTTGCTTCATTAAGTCACCTCTTAGAAGTCTGGCTTCTTTTGGTTAAAATCCCACACCCAGGGTGAATGTTGCAGAGCAGTAGATGAGGAGGGAATCCAGAGGACACAGCCTGGATTGGAGAGATGGCCTGGCTGTGTGCAGCACATACACATGAACTGTGAAATTTCTTGCTATAATCCAGCAATGGAGAAGTCGAGGAAAGTGCAAGTGGCTGTGGACTTGGAGAAAAGAGAGCTGAGGTAGCTGTGAAATCACTTGGGGTGGCCTTGAGTTTGCTGGAGTCTCTGAGCTGCTTGCTGTATGCAAGGGGTTCTGGCGTGGTAGAGAATGGCATCAGAGGCTATTTCCCCAAATTGAGGCCATGAAACTTGCCACCTCTGTGTGAAACAGCCCCTTAAAATCATTTTGCGTCCTGGCACACCGCAGCCACGCCTTTCAGGGAGTTTCCCTTCGTCTTGGCGCAGTGGCCCTTTCTCTTTAGCTCCTTCTGGTTATTTCTCTTCTCTCTCATACACTCTGTTTTCTTCTCACTCCAGCTTTTGAATAGAAAAGACAAGACCACCTTTGAGAAATTGGACTACCTGATGTCTAAAGAAGATAATTACAAGCGGACTCGAGAATATATTCGAAGCCTGAAGATGGTCCCCAGTATTCCCTACCTAGGTAGGACTCGCGATTGGCTTATTATTTCTTGAGAAACCTGCTCAGTGCCAAATAAGATGTGTCTGGTTTCTAGTTGAGCACTTTTCAGGAAGCGGCATGGCCCACGGATAGAGGTAACTGGCCGGGGCCCTGGACTGGAACAGGCTGTTGGTATTTCCCAAGGACGGGAAGCTTGATGAGGCCTGGACCTTAGGGCTCGTCTGCCTTTTACACGAGTGGCCCGTGAGCCCCCCAGCCTGCAGCCCAGAGGTCACAGTGACAGTGACATGACTCTTCAGGTTCACCTCACCCCCCAAACTGGGGGAGCTTGAGCCCAGTTCTCTCTGTTCTGGCTCTCAGGGCATTATGAACATATTTTATAAGATTTACATCAACAAAATGATTTTTCTGACTAGAGAGAATACATGTACATTGAAGAAATTAAAAAGAAGAAATTAATATCCTTTGTCATTCGACCTAGAGATGATCACTGTTTTGCTTCTTGTCCTTTCGGTCATTTGGGTGCATATAAAATACATTTATCGCAAACATTTAATGTAATTACCCGCATTTCTGTAGGAGACTCAGTCCCATCAGATAAATTCGTCAAACTTGAATCTGCTCGCCAGTCTTGACATTTAAGTGGTTTTTTGCGTGTTTGCTATTAAAATTTTACATTGGACGTACCGGTTGCCACAACTTCCTATGTCACAGTTATGATCATTGCCTTCCTTGCCTTACAGTAAGTTCCTAGAGGGATGATCCTGGGGTCAAAACTTATGCAAAATTTTATGCCTTTTAATGTATATTTTCAAAATGCTCTCCATAAAGGTTGTGTCGACTCACATTTTCAGCAGAAGGGTATGAAGCTGTCTGTCCTGCCGTGAACAAATACTGTGCCTTTTCAGGTGGCTGGTCTCTTTTTCCTTTTTTCATCTTGCCAGTGTGATGGGTGAAATGCTTCTTACAGTATGAGTTTCAGCATGACGCTAATTTTATGGGGAAAAAAATTTCTATCATTTTGTGATCTAAAATAGTATTAATAACAAGGGAAATGAAGGTATTTTAGAAGTGACCCCTGACATTTTCAGGGATTAGCACAATTTTTTTGAGATCACGTTTTTTGACAACTTTTAAATTTCTTCCTCGTGCATTGTTCATTTAGATTTTCTAATGCTTTAAAAGTCTATTTGGAAAGTTTACTTTTAATGGAAAGTTTGATCCAAGTTTTCAAAATCAGTGGGTTTTCCCCCCTCATTATATAGATTTTATTACTATAGAATCTTATAGAGTATTACCTTGTAAATTTTAACCTGCTACACATGTGTGGTTATATTTGTTTTGTATTCCTAATAGTTTGTATTCCTGATTTTTCTTTTTTTTTTTTTAATTTGCTCTGTCAGAGGTTTTTCTGTAGGTCTTTCCAGTGAATTAAATGTTATATCTGTTCTTTAGCCACAATCTTTCTGCTTTCTGATTATTCCATCAATTTAGGAGGTGTGTTTTCTGATCACTTTTTAACACCTTTGAAATTAGGATGCACCTTTCTGTTGATGGCAACAAGGTGCTGAGGCATCATTTAACTGGCAGCAGTTTTTCTTAGCGATACTTAAAATAATGGTGCATCTTATAATAGATGGCAGCCTAAACTGATGAAATATGGAATTTTTCTTATTTTTCTATAATTTATTTCACCTGCTTTCCTTATTTTATTTCTGTTAAATACTTTGCTTAATTATTGGTTCATTTGTATATATTATTCTTTTCACTTATTATGGGAACTAGGTAAGGCTATACATTGTCCTCTAATTGCAGCTTTTGTTGTACCCTGTGTGTTGTATCCTCAGTGATACTCCTTAAATGTTGTAATCATAGTTCAATTTATTATTCTTTTATTCATTTATTACTTAAGGTAATATTTTTTTTAATTTTCAAGGGCTTGAGTTTTTTCCCAAGTAACTTTATTGAGATATAATTCACATGCAGCCCACTTAAAGTATACAGTTCAGTGGATTTTAGTGTATTGCAGAGATGTGCAACCATCAGCGCAATTTTAGAACAGTTTTATAATCCCCAAGAGAAACCCCATATCCATCATTACTCATTCCCTTTTGCTTCTAGCTACCACTCCCCAGCCCCTTACTCCCAGCTGTGGGCAACCACTAATCTATTTTCTGTCTCCATAGATTTGCTTTTTCTGGACATTTCATATATGTTGAGTCACATAGTGTGAGGTGTGGCATGACTGGCTTTTTTCCTTTAGCATCATGTTTTGGAGGTTCACTTGTTACAGAGCATGAACAGTACTTCATTCCTTCTTACTGCCAAGTAATATCCCAGCATGTGGACACACCACATGTTATTTATCTGTTCGTCATCTGATGGACATTTGCGTTATTTCCCTTTTTTGGCTATTATAAGTAACATTGCTAGGAATGGCTTGGTTTTTTTTTTTTTTTTTAAAGATTTATTTATTTATTCATACAAGATCCGGTGTATAGGCCAGATTCGCAGAGGTTGAGAGGATTCACCAGAGACAGAGTGGGGAACAGAACAGGTAGACTGACGAAATATACTGCCGAGGGGAGCAGCAGGCGAGACAGAAGAGGTCTGCCATGCCATGTGGGATCGTCACCGACCGTCTGGGATTGAACCAGTGCTGCAGAGGCTGCGGACAGCCTCACAGCGCTGCGCTTAACTGCCTGCGCCACCAGGGGAGGCCCTTGGGTTTTATTTTTTAAGATTAATTTATTTATACAAGAACCGGGGTACAGGCCAGATGTGCAGGAGGGTGAGAGGATTCACCAGAGACAGAGTGGGGAACAGAACAGGCAGACTGACTGAAATACACTGCTGAGGGGAGCAGCGGGTGTGACAGGAGAGGTCTGCTGCCACATGTGGATATCTCCCTGGCCGGCCGGGATTGAGCCTGCGCTGCAGAGGCTGTGGACAGCTTCACAGTGCTGCGCTCAACCGCCTGCGCCACCAGGGAGGCCCTGGCTTGGGTTTTTAAAAACATATTTTTCTCTCTAAATATTTTTACACTCATTTATACTATGTGATACATATATACACTTTCTAGTTTTCTGAAAATATTTGAGGTTTGTCTGTGGCATAATATAACATCAGTTTTTGCAAATGTTCACGGGTGCTGAAACCAAGGTGAACCTCTCAGATTACTCTTCTAATTACATTATAGTATTCAAACTATTAATTTGTTGTAATTTGGTCTGTAAGGACAGAAATATATGTCAGAGTCCCCTTGCATTTTTAGTGGTTTCCGCCTTACATTAGGTAGTGTATAAAGGGTTATAACACCTGTAGGTTCATTGTGAAGTAGGTTCATCCCACAAAATGATCTTGATGTTCTTTGTTGTTTGCTGTTACTTCTTTGTCTGATATTCTGTGAAATCTGTTTCATTTTTCATTCACACTGATTTTATGTCTTTGACTACACTTTGAATTGTAATATTTCAAGTCCTTTTGTTTTAGGCATCATCCTTGTAAACAGAATTTGTTGGACCCCAAAACATCTAGTCTTTTATTCAGGGAGTCTGATTCTTTCACATGTGGTCTTATGTCCTGTTACTGAATTGAATACCATTTTGTGCGTTGTTTTTTTCCTGCTTTATCATGTCCTTGTTCTCTTCTTATTGCTTGTGGTAAGCTGCAGTGTCTGCGTGCTTGGGGATCCCCATCTCAGATCCACAGGTGGAAGGCGTGTTGATACGCACAACCCCTGAGCCCATCCCCACGTTGCAAAGGCTGAACAATTAAGGGGTGAGGGATGGTATTAGGGTGAGGCTAGCTGAGCGCAGTCCACGGGTCCGCCTTGCCTCGGTGCTCCGGGATCTGTGCCTCTTCTCGCCCATAAGCATGATCACGAGCGACAGCTGTGCTGTCGTTGGCTTCCGGTGGCGATGGCCAGTAGGTCTTGGTCAAAGGCAAACTGGACCAAAACCACTTCCCTCTTCTGACCAAGCCTGTTACCCAGATGTGTGCCCTTAGGCTGTCGGCCAGTGGTTTCTTGCGTGTCGCCAGGGTGACTCTTCTTAGGAAGGTCCCGCCTACAGTGGATGCAAAGCCTTCTGTGGCCTGAATTTCTGACTATCCAGACTCTGGACTTCAGCACAGACACAGACCCCCTTCTCCTCCGCCACCTCCTCTCACCTGCCTTTTCCTAGCAGGGCCTCCTGAGGGCCTGTGCCTGGGTCTCCTGCTTCAGCCTCTGAGCGAGCCCAGCTGAGCCAGCGCCTGTCCCTGCACCTCCAGGGACTCCCCTCCCCTAGAGCCCGCAGGACTGCGTTTCTCATACTGGCATCAGAATGGCTCCTGACACTCACAAGTCAAAGGAGAAAACGGGGTGACTGGCCCCCCTTTACCGTGGGGGTGTTGTGTTCATTAAAGAGAAGGAAGCAGAATCCCAGGCTGAGGCTCAGTGGGCCCATCCCCCATGGCAGCCAAGGCCCCGCCTGCCTGATCTTGCGCACAGACCTTGCCCAAGTCCATTTGCAGCTTCAGTGCTGGATTCCTCTTGAAAACCCAACCTGTCAGGGGACGGATTTGTTTATCTAAGCGGAATAGTTACATAATTCCTGGAAAGTACGATATAGGAAAAAATGTCCGAAACCATTTCTTTCCCCTGGCAAAGTCCCCACCATGGGTCTTTCCCGGGGAGGGCCTGTCAGGCAGCTTTGTGAGTTCCAGCGCTCCAAGCCCGGAACCTTGCTTCAGCAGTCACTGGCCTCTGATAGCAATGAAGGGTTTTATTTTTGTGATGATTCTTTTAAACCTCTGTGGAGGGTACTGGCTTCTGGGCCTGCTCACACGCGTGCCTCTTGCTCCATGTGGGATGCCCCCACACTGGGCCAGCGGTTGCCTCACCACATGGGTGTCTCCCTGCTTCCTCTGTGCAGCTCCTAGGAGCTGGCTGGCTGCACCCAGAGTCTCCCCTGACACAATTTAAAAAAACACTAAGGGAAAAACTGACTACCTTTTAAAAATAGGACTCTTTCTATCAA